ACTTCTCCCTCTCCCAACTAACATGTATTTGAAAAGGACTCAGAATTCCAGGTTCCATAATGGGCCTGGAGGTATGAGTGGAAGTAGCATCTGAGAATGCCCGCACCACAGCCCTGGTCAGACCTAAGCTTTTGAAACACAAGCCATGGCTGCCACCTAGTGGAGATTTTGAGTCATAATCATTCAGGGAATGTCAGGTGCTGTCCTGTTGCAGTGATGTATGTCAGGACGCCCTACTCTGGCTTTTCTCGTTTGTCATTTGGCTTCATTAAATTCACCAGAGGTTCATAGGACGCCATTACTACCTGGACTACTTTCCCTCCGGTCTGCTCTGAAAAGGATGCCAACCAGTCCTCTGGCATTATTACCAGGTCTTTGCCCCAAGCTTGTAGCTAAACCACTTCATATATTATTAGAACATAGAATGAGCTGAGAGAGAAATCAGAAAATACATATCTAGCACTGCTTCTCCATTTCCCAGAGGAGGAAACTGAGACCCAAAGGAAGGGAAATTAGTCGCCCAAGGCCTCACCATTATGGTAGCATTAATAGTTCAGAGGATCATAACTTAGAGTTGGAAGGGACCTTTGAATTCATTTCATACAACCCTCTCATTTTATAGATTAAGAAAGAGATGTGACTTGCCCAAGATCACATAAGTATTAAGTGAAATAGGCCAGATTTAAACCCAAGTTCTCTGATTCTAAAACTATTACTCTCTTTTGTACCACACTGTCTCTTTAAAATATGGTCATGGGCATCCCAACTCTTCTATGAGATTGTAAATTCTTTAAGAATAAGGAATAAGCATTGTGTGGTAGATACGGCAGCATAACAAAGAATGAGAAGGGGGAAGGGAAGCATTTCAATAAAATTGACTAACATGTACTGTGCTTTGCCCAAAATATGCATTTAATAAAGATTATCAAATGATAGGGAAAGCAACATTCCACATCCACAAAGATGCACCTCTGCAAAGAAGGGAAATTTATTTTCCCCAACACTTTCCCAAGGCCATATTTGTTCATTATATTTAGTTTTCCATTTTTAAACCCTTCCTGATAGACTTTCAGCCTAATACATATGTGTGTATACCTATACCTGTACCATATATGTGTATTCATAAACATTTATAATTTAAGTAAACACACACATATTTATGGTATAGGCTGAAAGCATATATATATACATACATACACACACACATATATGCATACATATACATGTGTGTATGTATATGTACAACACATATAGCATAAGCTGAAAGTGTACAATACACATTGATAATACACATGAATGTATGTTTACATATAGAATTTATGACTCACATTGTATATTATGTACATATACACATGAGCACACTCAGACACTGTCCCAAAGGTGTTAGTGAAGCTTTAAGCTTTGATAGCTTAAGCCTGCACCAAGACTTTAAGAATACCCTGAATAGCTTACTCTATATACTCTAGCCTATTCTAAGGGAGGAGAGGAGAGGAATGGGAGATGCACTGTGTGATGTCATACCTCTATTTATTTGTCCCATGACTATCTTTTTTGAACTTCGAGGGGCCCCACACTCCCTATTTATCCAACCATAGCATTAAATAGCTATGACTATGACAACCATGGCATGACTTTAAAGACTTGTAATATTCCCTCTTGGCCTTGGTCTCTCCAGACTGGAGGGTGATTTTTTTTTTTTTTTTTTAGTTGTTAGGATAGAGCAGTGAACAATGGCTAGGCCAGTTTGGCTGGAGCAAAGAACAGCGGCTCCCAATATATGGACTCCTGGGGGGACTTCTGTGAGATCCATCCAGATCATGTGATGACTAGGATAGGGACTGGACCTTTGTTTTCACTGGAATGAAGAACTTTTTACTTTCTCATCTTCACATACCAGCCCAGATTGCTTTTTTTTCCTGGGCTGCTGAATGGTCTTTCTGCTATTTCCTAAAACCATACACAACAATTATATGACAATCTGCATATATTTCTTAAGTATCCACAACGCTCTGGGCACAGTATTAAAAAGGCCCATCCAGGGTCCCATGGCAGTGACTGGGAAGGATAGCTGGGGTTGGTGACTCCTCTCTTTAACATAGGGCATTCATCCATGTGTGTCATCTTACTTATCTGTACTACATCCTGGGGCATCCCCATCACAACAACAGGTAATTCTCTTTTTCCATCTGGAGTAATTCATACTCCAGAAGATTATATGATAATAGATTTAGAGCTGGGAGGGACCTCAGAAATCATCAAGCTCCACCTCATTTTACCTATGAGAAAGTTGAGGAACGGAAAGGCAATGGAATTCTATGGGAGTCAATGCAGTGCAGTGTTGAATGCAGGGTCTGCCTGACTCCAAATCTATCATTCTTCACTGGTCAATCAGTCATCTCTGGAACTGGGAAAGTCTGAAGCCTTGCAAATGTCTGCTTAAGCACTCAGTGAGAAACACTGGTAGAGCTAAATTGGATCTCACAGCCCAGCCCCCTTTTTTTTTTCAGGCTTTACCCATTTTTCGAATCTTTGTGTAAATGCAGGCCTGAAATATTGGCCCCAGGTTGTCCAGTTCACTAATAAGCAAAAATCACAATTCAGATCTCGGTGCAACATCTCTGGTCATTCCACCCATTCTGTTTCGGGAAAACTAATTCAGCTTTCTCCAGTCATTTTCTATGCCATCAAGAAGAAGCAAAAGGAAATCCCTTAAGAAAAGGAGACGGTTTGTTTCTTTCATTTGTTTATTTTAAAACATTAAACCCAAGCTGAATAGAAACCACAGAAATTACATTGAAGAGATTTTGTTTTTAGTATTTGCCAAAAAAAAGGAAAGAAAAGAGAATAAAACAAAAATAAAGCAACCAAAAAACCCAGTAAAAAATAGCTACAGTACATCCATGAAGCTACCAAGGTTAAAGGAAAAAAAAAATACAAGAACAGGTTCAAGCCTCAATTCAACCCTCACAATTTAAAAACATGTTGGGGCAAGTTTAGGGACTTGCAAGAGAAAAAAAAAACTAGGAAGTTGAGCATTTCCTTAAAAAATCATATATTTTATATATTATATATAACGCATATAAAGTGGTATGATATACAACCATTATGGTTAAAAACAACAAAAACAAAATCAGTACAAAAGGCTCAAGGACAGGTTGACCAGTCAAGCCCCACCAACACCCTCTTATCAGAGAAGCTGTTCTCTATGGCCTTGACCTTGGGGCCTGGCCCTGAGGGGGTCTCTGGGAACTGATTGGGGTCAAGGGAGGCATCCATTGATGGGGCTTGGGGTCTGGAAGGAAAATGCTGTTTTGGAATTGCATAGTGAGATGGGTACAGAGGGTAGCCCTCAGGGATGTTTGTCATTCCCCCCACCTCCCTGCCCTCTATGTCAAAGGGAGCAGGAATGGGTGCCCTCCTCCTTCTACATCCCGTTTTGTTTCCAGCAATCAATCTCTGCCTTTGTGGCAAAGTCAGGAAGATCAGTTGCTGCGACCAATGGAGAATATGTTGTTCTATCAACTCCCTTATTCTAAGAACTTGATTGGAACAAAACTAAATTGTGTTTGAGGGTGAAGGTCCTCCAGTGGCCTTGGACAATTACTCACGAAGGGCAGTCTGGGGTCTAAGACACTCAACGACATCCCTCTACCCCAACTGGTGATAAGGGAGCCTTTGAACAAGAAGTGACATGTGAATTAGGGGATGGTGAGGCCAGCTGGTTTGCTGGGAAACAAACTTTCCTTGAGTTAGGCCACAATCTTTCCCAGCTAAGCTAAGGAACAAAGCCAGGATTCACTCCAGGGAGGGATGGAGCGGAAGAGCAGGGAATCCTCTGTCTACTCTCAGCCTAGTGAGCTACTAGGGATAGAGAGAGGACCAGAGCAAGCCCTGCTCTCTCCCTCACCAGAAGAAATCTGGGCTTATACCTCCATTCAGAAGCACTCCCATTTCTTTTCATATTCCAGGATTCCTAGGTACATTCTGCATATGACTCAGTTAGTGACTGTCCTCTCCCTCTTTGTTGAACCACTTGGAGGAAGCTGTGAATGAAAACCTTTTATCCCCAAAGTTGGGAGGGAGATAATCCAAATTCCCTCCCAGTCTTCACTCCTCCATTCCTGTGAGGCTTCTAGGGCTGAAATCAGATAAAAAGATTTCCACCCTAAAAGGAAAACTGAAATGTTTCCTCTCCTATTCCATCAGGATCACTCAAAGACTATGGGTGCCCACAGTGAAGCAGGAGTATGCATGACTGCCCAGTCCCTTCTGGTTGGGTAGGAGAAGAAGGAATGAAATTACAACAGTTGAGAATATCAGACATAACTAGAAATTTTTGTGTCTGGAATGGGGAAAGGCTAGCTCAACTGGGGTGCAGTTACCAGGAAGATAGAATCCTAGGATGGTGCTTTTGGCACCCTCTAAATCTTAGAGCCCTGGGAAAGAGCCCCAGATACCTTGCCTTTGTTATGGCCCTGGGGCTAGTTTTTCTTCACCCTGCCAAGTAATGGCCACGGAATAAGTTCCATGGGACAGATGGAAGACACATTGACTTCTGGGATAAAGAAAACTTACATTTAGAAGTCAGATTGGGGTCTGAGAGGGGCAAGGGAGGCATTTGGGGGAGGGAAGGGGTTAAAAATAATTCAAACCAATTGAAGGTAGCGGCCTAAGGCACTTTGTCTGCCTAGGATGCTATTTGGGTGTTGCAAAAGCCCCATTCCAAGTGCTGAGTTTTCGGTTTGAACCCCCCCTCTTTTTTTCCTTTTCCATATAGGTAAGTAAAATTAACTAAGTTAAAAGATTACAGACAGGATACAAACACTACAGTTAAAGATTCCCAAGACAGCACGAGAAATTCACAGCCAAGTCTGGAGTTTGATTTCTTTTAACGAGTACAATGCAGTCTTGAACACTGGACCCAGGAGTTCAACATGCTATTTACATTCACATTGTGGAGATGTCCATGTGCTTGGGAAAAAATAGTCCACAGGCCCCCATCCCTCCCTGAACTGGAGGGCTTTTTTTTTTTTTTTTGCTTTTTTGCTTTTTTTGTGGGAGGTGGTTGGTCTGATCAGTGGTGGGTTCTTTTTTTTCTTTTCCTTTTTTTTTTGCTCATCAGGATGCGATGGAAAAAAGCTGAACATACCAGACAAAGCTGATAATTAATGTTTGTGCTTCTAAAAAAAAAGACACAGAGACAGCCGAGGCTCAATCACATCCACGTCCAGAATGCAGTGATAGAAGGGAAGAGAGGAGACTGGAGATGTTTCACACAGAGGAAGTTCCTGATGGCAGCTTCCAAGGTTTCCTAGTGATGATGTTCAGGAGGTTGTCTGTGGCCCAGAGATGGGAGGCCAGCAGCTCACATGAGTGGTTAAAAAAAAAAAAAAGGTCCAGAAGGACCAATAGGACATTGTTGCCTTGCTCCTAACTCCACTGCTAGGGATGTTGGAAGGAGCTGCTGTGAATGGAGGTGGGAGCTATCCCAGCATCCCCCGGGGGAGAGGCACCTTGCCAGACTTGGAAAACCTTGGTGCCTTCCCTGAAGGAGTCTGAGGTCAGATGAGGGGCTGAGTCAAAGGATCTCCCTTCCAGACACCCCTGAGGTTCTCAATGGCACCGGAGGACCACTGACTGATTCTAGGTTGTGCTGTTGCTATCATGTTGCCACCACCTAGCCTGGCATCCTTTGAAGTAGGCCTTTAAGAAGAGGGGTAGCGGACCAGGTTGTCATAGCACAAGTTGGTTTTTCCCATGAGGGATCCCCTGACACAGGCAGCAACTTTCTTCCGGCCTCTGAAACACAACCTCCCTTTGCAGGGACTTCATTCCAGGTGGTCCTGTTCTGTGTGTCGAGTGCTGAGGTCTCTGGACAGAGACTGCCCTGCCTGCTCTTTTTTTTTTTGAATCATCAAGTGCGTGGGGGGGAGGCAGCATGTAGTTATAGCTGTCAGTGATGGGTGTTCAGTAGGGCTTTGGCCACCTAAAACCTAGCTCCAGATGGGGCTCGTCTTCCTGCCGCTCCTGTGAAACTTGAATCCTTCCCAGGACAGGCCATGCCAACCCCTTTACATCCTCGAAACTTCCTTGTTCTCAGAAATAGAGTTGTCATTGTGACCCTTGTTCTTTTAGGCCCAGCAGGTCTCAGGACCCCGTTACATTTTTCTTAAACATTACTGAGGACCCCCTTCAAAGAGCTTTTGCTAATATATGGGTCATATCTATGGATGCTTACCATATTAGAAATGAAAACATTTTAGCATTATGAAAATAGTTTTTTCTTTGAGGACCCTATGAAAGGGTCCTACCCCATGGGTCCCCAGACTATGCTTTGAAAATTGCTGTTCTAGCCTAACTCTTAAGTACCCAGGGACCATTAATGAGGGGTATGAACAGAATGGGGGTAGGGAGCATACAGACAGGAGAGGAGAGATTTTTAAAATGGCCCAGGGAGATGTAAGCATGGGTCATTTCAGTAAAAATGGGATTGTGGGTCTTCTCACCTGCTTGTCTTAGCTGCCTGTCCCAGAAGGGACCAATCATGAGTTTTTAGTTGATGTTTCCTCTCTTCACTACACAAAATTTTAGGCTCCCTTTGGCCTGTGATAGATGGACTCTGGTATGGCCCCCAACCCTGACAGTCCAGCACTTTGGATCTACTCTAGGCTCTTTGGGCCTAGATACCTCATGTCTCTGGTAAACAGTTTGCCAAGTAGGTAGGTGGTACGAGGGAGAGGAGGTGGGACAGAGGGAAGGAAGATGGCGGCTCTCCCTAGCTTTCTGGCCAAAAAGGAGAAGGGAGGCAGAATGGCAGACTCAGAACATGTCATGAGTATTCTGCACACCAAGGCAGCAAGCACCTTATGGTAGATGTCTCATTCCCATTTCACAGACAGGGAGACTGAGACACAGAGGTTCAGCGGCCAGCCCTAGCTCATACTTCAGACAGAAGGAACTTAAGACGTCTGTTCAGCCATCTCGTGGGTCACTCTTCTCTCAGGTCTACAGGACAACTACACAGAGGCCACTCAGAATGGCTGAAAAGCCTGGGACTGGTTGGAGGCACACTCTGCTCATAGAATCTCCGGAACAAGGAACATCTCGGCTGCTCTTCTCTCTTGAGCACTTTGCTGAAGCAATTTTACCCTATTAGTAGAAGATTAAAATCTCCCCTTCCTCCATTCATTGCTTTCTCCATTCTGGAAACCACAGTGTGGGTAACATTTCTGGATGAGGAAGAGGTGGAGGTGGAGGAGTGCTGGCCTGGCTGAACCATCTCTTCTGGGAGCAAGGGGCCTTGGACTCAGGCTACCATCAAAGCCGCTGGTCCTGGCCCTGCTCCTCCCTGCCATCCAGGCCCAGGGGTCTGAGGAGTCCAGGGACATGTGGGAAGTGAGGTTAGTGGTTAGAGCCAGGAAGAGCAGGAGGAGGAGGGAGGAGACACATCTCCCATTCATAGCTGGCTCATGAGTCCTTGGCTTTCTATTTCTGATGCAAACAAAACAGAGGCCTAGAGAAGCAGGGACCTGAATCCCAGCCTCCCAGAGATCTTGCTGGGAGTGCAATGCTTCTATTCCTGGGTTTAAAAAAAAAATGAAAAAAAGAAGGGAGCAGGGAAGTAGTCCAGCAGCAACCACTATACCCTAAGGATCTCTCATCTGGCCCATATCTCTGGAAAAACCAATAAAGTGTTCTGCCTAGAGATTACAAATGTGATTAGTGCAAAAAAAAAAAAAATTTGGCACCAAGGAGGTGGACAGCTCTTGCTGACTCCCGGTAGATTCTGGATAGCCACACTGGAGAGGAGACAGGGGCAAAGGGGCAACCCAGGGTTAGGGGAAGGCCAAGGAAGTAAACAGGCCCAAGCCTTCGGTTTGGCACCAGGCACCTGATGCTCACCCTAACACGGACAAGGAATTTAAACACTATTGTCTCAGAGGCTCCAGGAGACAAAGTGAGGACCAGAGAAAGGAAGAGAAGGCAGTGAGAAAATGACGTTGACTTTGAAGGGTAGGGGAGGCAGAGGTTCTTACCATGACTCACAATCTACCTCCCTGTAGATGGAGACTAACTCTGGATTAAGGCCTCTAACAAGAAGCTAAAAGTGGTGAGCTAGGAAGCATGGCTCGTGGGTGCGTACATGCATGCGTGAGAGAGACGGACAAAGAGAGACAGACAGACAGAGAGATGAAAACAGAGACACAGAGACAGAAAGTGTGTGTATGTTAGGTGTGGAAGAGGTGTGCGTGAGGGAACTTCTATTTGATGGTAAAAAGAATATGTGTCCAAGTGAGCATCTATCTGGGTCAGTGTAAGGGTACACATTTAGGTCAAAGTGAGGGTGTTTGGGTCAGCATGGGCATGTGTACGACTGGGTCAGTGCATGTATGTTTGGGTCACAAAAGGATGCATATGAGACTGTTTTCCTGACCAGGACAAGGACACCCTGGACTCAAAGCCCTCATAACTTGAAGCTGGTCCAGAATGAATGAGAAGCACCGTTAGGAATCACTCCAGAGCCCAGACCTCCAAAGCATCTTTTCCTTCTGCAGAAGGGACAGAGATGGAAGAGGAGTAGGAAACTGATCTGTTAATATATTCCCATTTGGCTTATGGAAGAAGCACATGAATCTGGGCCCGTGGCCTGTGCAGCTCACGGAGGCTGGAAGGTAAGTCCTTAGCTGCCCCAGGAGCCCCTGCCCTCTCACTGGGCTCATTCCCTGGTGGTCCTTGGCCTCTCAGGGTCCCAGTGGCCAGATGCTGGGAGCAGCAGAAGTGGGAGGTACAGCGCCAGCATCAGGAGGAGTGGAGGGAGGGAAGCAGAGTGGGTTTGGCAAGGGAGCACAGGGGGGCAGGGGGGCAGTTGGCACATTTGCGATCGGTGTCTAATGCCCGCTGCTGGAGTCAGGGCGAGGTTGGTTGGTAGCGAGGTATTTGGCTCTCATGCTGGAGGTGTACTAGAAGAAGAAACAAAACAAAACAAAACAAACAAAAAAAATCAGTGTCAAGACAGCTTTGTTGGGAGGGAATGCGTGTCCAGAGCAAGCCCAGCTTCTGTCAACATCATCAGCTCTGCGTTTCCAGAGACCTGATTTCCCCTGATCTTTGTGCCCAGCCAAATAACAAAGCCTAGCCAAGGGTCAAAGCAGCACGTCTGTCACCCTCTGAGTCACTCCTGGGCACCGTGAGGGGCCAGTCCTCTGCCTTCCTCACCAGGGGTCAGCATCCACTTGAGAGACCCAAAGGAGGGTAACCAACATGACATGCTCTTCATCAAAAATCACAAAGGGGGCAATATCCTTCCTGGCTTCAATTCCTGAGCTATGGGCCCAGAATTGGAGTTATGAGAATCAGGACAGTTTTTGTTTGTTGTTGCTTTTCTGGTTTTGACCTGTAATTTCATTTCATTTGTATGGGAAACTAGCAGGCAAGGAAACTCCCTCTACCAATGAAGGCTGGCACCGAGATGTGACATCGTCCTAGAGAACTGAGCATGGAGGAGCTCAGTGACTTGTCCAGAGTCAGACAACCAGGGAATACCAGAGTCAGGACTTGAACTCAACTTTTCCCCATTCCAAGTCCAGTTCTCTGTCCACTAGGCCATGATGTTTTTCTAGAGGCAGTGTGCAATCTCTAAGCCTGAAGGACAAAACAAGGCCACATTCTGTCTCCCAGATGAAAGACTGGAGCCCTGGTGCCACATGCCAGGGACCCACAGAGGCCACCCCACTAGCATGCTTTCCCTCTCTCGCCCCCTTTCTTTCTCTCTCTTCCCCCTCCTCTCTCTTTCCCTGTCTTTCTCTCATCTCTCCCCCCTCTCCTCCTCTTTCCCCTTTCTCTCCTCTCTCCCCCTTTCTCTCATCTCTCTCTTCCCTATCCTTCTTTCTCTCTCTCTCCCTCTCTTTCCTCCTCTCTCCCCCTTTCTCTCCTCTATCTCCTCTTTCTTCTTTCTCTCCTGTCTCCCCCTCCCCCTTTCTCTCATCTCTCTCTTCCCTATCCTTTTCTCTCTCTCCTCCTTCTCTCTCCCCCTTTCTCTCCTCCTCTCTCCCCTTTTCTCCTTTCTCTCTCCCTCTTTGTCTCTCTCCTCTCTCCCCCTCCTTCTCTCTCACCCTCTATCCAGGTGTTGGAGTTGGCAAAGATGTAGGTGGAATTGGCCAGGGATACAACTACCCTCCCAAAGCAGTAAGCCTGCCCAAGAGGAAGCAATGGCCTGGCATCTAGTACTGCCCTGGCCTCTAAACTAGGAGAGGGGGACATTCCTCCTGCCATCTGGTATCATGCAGCTTTCACAGTACTCCAGGGGAATATGATCTCAGGTTGGGGAACATCCAGAAATTCTGAATAAGCCCTAACATTACAGAAAAATGTCAAAGGTAGAAGGGATCTTAGAGATCATCTCTCTCATCCACCTCCTCTTTCATTTTACAAAGAAAGAAATCGAGGCCAGAGACTTTAAGTGATTTGCCCAAGGTCAAGACCAGTAAATGGCCATGCTGGGTATAGACTCCCAAGTTCTCTGCTTCCTAGATACAGTTATTCCACATTGGCCTCTTCAGATTTAGAAAGTAAGCAAGGCTTACTTTTCATGTTTCTTGAGATAGGTGAAATCATTCTAAAGCAGGAGTTCTTAACCTGGGGTTGGTAAACTTTTAAATACTTTGCCAATGGTATTTCAACATAATTAGTTTCCTATGTAATTCTATATATTTTATTTAATACATTTAAAAACATTATTCTGAGAAGGGGTTCATAGGCTTCACCAGACTGACAAATTGTGGGCCAAGACACAAAAAATAAGGTTAAGGACCCTGCTCTAAAGGGTAAAATTCAAATTTGAGTCTAGTATTGAGGCTGTCAGAAGAAGCCTCAGGTGCTCCTAGGACATCCCAGAGTATTGCAACCTAGGTTGTAGTTTATGGAAGAGGATTCTTCCATATCCTCCATATCCTTTCCATATCCCTCCTGGGATTATTCCTAAAAAGATCTCATCAAAAAAAGAAAAGGGGAAAGACTCTTTGGGGATACTTCTCCCCCAAACCACCATGGAAATTTCTCTTAAGCAGGACATGACTGTCAGCTATTGCCCCAAGAAGTCGCTCCTCCCACTGGCCTCCTGTTACCGGTGGGGGAGACATTCACACTGATCCAGGGCTGTGATGATGTTATAATCCCTGACAAAGTTTTCTCCAGGCTCTTCCTCTGTCACATACCCCAGCCTGCAGAGAAAGGTCAAGAACTAGAATGCTGGGAGAAACTTCTTATAGTTAGAGTCAAATTCATTCCCCTTCAGGCAGGAGGAAAGCCCTAATCCAGCCAGGGCCAGATAGTCACCCACTGTCTTCTTGAGGTTCTCTAGGGTATAAAGAATCCACAGCCTCCTTTAGCTGCCCCTATCCCTTCGCTTTTTGGCCACATGGAAAGGCCAAAGGATTCTATTTCTCAAAGCAAAGTGAGCATTACCTAAGTGGGAGCAAGGTTCAGGAAATAGCTGCTGGCAAGGGAGAAGGTGGCAAGACAATACTAATAGTTGGTATTCTACACAGGAAGCTGGCCTTTTGTGAAGGCTTACGGAGGTGCATCAAGTCAAAGAAGAGACTGGATACCAGAGGGGCTAATGGAAAGACAGGAAGAGACTACGGTCTAAGATGAAGAATTAAGGAGTAAATCCAAGGGTACTGGAAACAAGCACAGGAGAAATCCTTGTAAACACTTCAACTGGCAGGTCTACTTCCTGAAGGTTGAAGGTGAAGTGGATGCCTCCATCTTCATCGGTAGAAGACTCTAAGACTAGGGAAGGAACTAGGGGACTGAGATCAAGGGTTCAAATCCTGCTATAGTGAAGTAGGGGATTTGGCTAGATGACCCTAAGGTCTCTTTCAGACATAATTTTCTCACACTCTATGAAAATGGTGGAGAAGAGATTGAATCTTTCTAAGGCAGGAGACAAGAAGTCCTTCCTGGTGGCCACACAAACCACTTCTAAGCAAGAGGAGGATGGACCCACGATGAGACATGACAGATCTGGGAGGAAAGGAACCCAAGGTTGCATGTCTCAGAAGTCTGTCAAAAATGACACCCCTTAAACAATGTCTAAAAGGAAAGGCCCCCGAACTAGGTAAAAGGAGAAAGTGTTAGGTCCATGAGACAAAAAGCAAGCAAGACCAGAAGCCCTACCTCCTCTCTGTTAAGTCATTGTCAAGCAGATTCATGGAAGGTTGGAGAAGGTAGGACAAGATGAACTCCCTCAGAGTTAGATACCATGCATCCAAAATCCAGAGAATACCCTGAAACCTTCTGTGCTTCAGTGGCTAAAAGAATGGAGGCTGGACTTGATCTTCCCAACTATAACAAAATCATGTGGCAAGAGCTGCTATGGGACTAGTAAACACTTAGTGGATGAATGTATGGATGGATGGATGGACAAGTGGATGGATGGATGGGTGAATGGATAGATGGATGGATGGATGAATGTATGGATGGATAGATGGACAAGTGGATGAGTGGAAGGATGGATGGATAGATGGACGAGTGGATGAGTGGAAGGATGGATGGATAGATGGATAGATGTCCCAAGGATACAATCCAACTTCCTCAGCTATAGACTAGAACCCTACCCTGAGAAGATGGGGAAAACCTACCTATGAATCCTTCTCTTCTCACCCAGCAGTAGGCTCTGAGGTCAAACCTGTAACTAGTCTGCTTGGGGTGACTTAGGAATGATGTGTTCCTGTAGGGTTATTATGATCTCTGCTTTTCCTTTCTTTTCTCACTGAGTCTCCTTCAACTACATCTCTGCTGAATGGCACAAAGGATGGAACCAAGTTCATGATAGGCCACTTTGTTACCTGTGAACAGTTCTGGGTTGAAGGAAACCATTAATAAAATGGAAACTCCTGAATTAAATAACTCAGTTATTCAAGGCCATCAAGTCCTTCCCAGATTACCTTGCTTCAACTGTCCCATTCAGTGAATGGGCATTTAAATACTCCGGGCACAGGGAAGAGGTGACCATAGAGATAGGAAGGCCAACGGCTGGCACAGGGACCTTCTGTGGGCATTTTTGCATGACGTGTGATGTCTGCAGGCTGCAACCCATGTAGCAATAGCAGCTCTAGACTGTGTATGGGAAAATGCCCCATGAAAGCCTAGCCCTATGACCACCAGCTGCTACCCTCGCTGTGCGAACCTCTCAGGCTGAGTGCTCTAACATGGACTATAACATGAACCATGGACTATAACATGAACTGTGGACTATAACATGAAGCCAAGGGCAAAGGGGGTCTCTGTACATGCATAAGGGGAAGGAGGCCCTTAGACAATGAGAAGCTTCCAAGTGGAACGTCCTTCACCGGTAATAAAGCAAATCCAATAATCTATTGCATTCCTACAATGAGTTTATAACTTTCCAAAAGTGCTTTTGTAGTGATTTTTAAATTTTATTCCCATAAATATTCCCCAAGAAGGATCATCTCCATTTTACAGAAAAGGACATTGAGGCACAGGAAAACTAAATAATTAGCTTTAGGTCACATGAAGCACAGACAGGACTCAACACAGCCCTCCCCACTCCTAGCCCAGCATTTTTCCTACTAGAACACAGCTGGTAGGAAGAAGTGGTTGCTTTCTAAAGCAAAGACAGACTAAGTCTATATAAGACCAGTCCTAGGTAACATGCCCATCACAGCGGGGCTGGGGATCATACCCAGCCCTGCCCAGGCACTGCCAGGGCACCTGTGGGGGTAAGGAAGAAGCAAGAAGCGCTCAGAGCAGATGGCATAGGGAGTGGTAAGGGGGAGGAAGAATGGAGCCAGGTCATTCCACAAAGCACCAGCAACATGCAGAGGGCAGGCCAGGCCTTGGCATTCCTGGCCATGCTCCACCTCCAGGTGCCCTGGAGCTGGGGGAGCCCCTGTCCTGGAGAGCCCCCCAACCCAGCAGAGCCCCCAAACCAAGATGCAACCCAAGCAGGCGACCATGGCATCCAGAGGGAGGTGAGAGCAGAGGAAGGAGAGAATTAGGGAAAAGGACAATGGAAAAGGAGCAACTCAGACCTTCTGACACACAGATGAAACAGACAGTGACTTAGTATGGCACCGACACCAAGCCCACCCCAGCCATAAGGGGAAGGCCCACCTATCTCCCAGCAGCTGCCCTTCTCTGGGTGTGCTCTCTCTCTTTCTCTCTCTCACCTCTCTCTCTCTTTCTCATCTCTCTCTCTCTCTCCCCTCTACCCCCACTTGCCCATGACTCAGTTTATCTGAGATCATACCTGGCTGATCCCACTGAGTGATCAGAGCTGTAGTGCCTGGAACAGTCCCTTTGTCTCTTCCCCTGAATACCAGGAACAAAGGAAATATGTGTGTGGTAGAATAGGCCAGAGTCATGAACTGAGAGCCTTAGGGTGGGGGGGGGGGGCAGAATTTATAGGGAGGTTGAAATCATGAGGTTTCACAGGGTTTGAGGAGATCAACTTGAAAGTAATTCTCTTATTCATTTTTTTGGGAGGGAGGAGGCAATCGGGGTTAAGTGGCTTGCCCAGGGTCACACAGCTAGTGTTTGAGGCCAGATTTGAACTCAGCTCCTCCTGACTCCAGGGCCACTACTCTATCCACTGTGCCACCTAGCTGCCCCAAAAGTATTTCTCTTAGTAGGAATTCTTTTGTTTTTAATTCTTGGTTTGGTCAGAATTTATCACAAGTACTTAAAAATTTCTTGTGGCTCCTATAGCTTTTTTAGATGAAGTCTGTGCTACCATGCTGTTCAAAGTAATAATAATAATAATAATAATAATAATAATAATAATGACAGCTAGCATTTAAACAATGCTTTAAAGGTTGACACCTTGATTCTCACAACAACCTTGTAAGGTAGGTTCTATTACCCTCATTTTACAGATAAGGAAACCGAGGTTGAGAAAGGAAAGTGACTTGACCAAGGTCACACACCTTAAGAAAGCAATGGGAAAGCATTAGTGTGCATGTGTGGTGGTTACTATTGTGGTATCGTTGGTTTTTTGGTGAACTGGTTTTTAAACATTTACCAAGACACCACTGGTGATGTGGGTCAAGTCTATATCAGTCCAGCAAGGGGGCCACCTGGGGTGATGGGGCCAGGAAAGAAATCACGCTCTATCTGACTCCTAAAAAGGATAACTGGGATGTCCTCGGGGGAAAGGGGCCTTTTCTCTCACAGTGAGGACAACAGCAGCAGTTCACAAGCTCCAGGCATGGCATGAGAGCAGAGAGGGGGCATGACTAGGTGCCCTGCAGGCCAAGGGGCTCATGGGCAGCTGGGGCCTGGGACCCAGAGGTGGATGCTGCCTCCTTGGCCCACCCCTGGCTGAGTCTTGCAATGGGCTTTGCCCCTGGTGGGAAGGGTGTGGAGGAGGGTGCAAAGATGGAAGTAAAGGTGAAAAGTAAAGGCTTTGGCTAAAACGGGGAGAAGGAAGAGGAAGAGGACGGGGAGGAGGACAGTGCAGGGATGGAAGGAAGAGGTGGAGCGAGAAGGACCTTATTTCAGTACCTGTTCCATTTGAGGGCGCTGCTGTTACCAGTACGTCCTTGAACTGTCCGAGGGCTTAAGCTGCCAGCTCATATGGCTACTATTGTCCATGGCAGCCAGATATAGCTGTGATGTCGCAGGAGAGAGAGAAAAAAGAGAGGGCAGCCTCAACTGGCATGAAAAACACAGAGCAAGCGAGATGGGTCCATGATGGGCAGAAGGGCACAGACCCCCTGCAGGAATGGGGAGGGAGGGAAGGACAGAAGGAACGAGGGAAGGAGGACAGGAGTGATGGGGGCATGGGGGAAAGAGGAGAGAGCAGAAGACAACCAGAACAGACTCATCCATCACCCAGACGTGTCACTGCAGTATTGCCCCCAATGGGGAGTGACTTCTTTCCATCTCTCCTTTTCCCCTCCAGTAGTAGAGGCTGCTGACCATGCCACACTGACCACGCTGCAGGGGCTTGGGCTTGACTCATCATCTCTCCTCTCTGCTTGCAGGTCTTACCGAGCCTTCAAAAGACCCAACTCAATGTTTCCCTTCTTCATGAAGGACTCTTTGACTGCTCTACCTGCCTACCTACCTCTGAGCTCTCTCTTCCAGGAGATCTTACAGTATGTGTACTACTCACTGTGGCCTTCATCATATATTGCCTTATATTGTAATGTAACTGTTTCCGTCCTTTCCCAGATGGACTATAAGCTCCTAATGGGCAGGCCCCATCACATACTAACTTCTTTTATACCTTACGGTCCAGGGCACATGGTGGATACTCATAGCATATCTCTTGGTTGATTGAATGAATGAATGAGTGAAATGCCTGGATGACTTGGGCAGTCTATGTAGATAGGGTTGGAGGGTGAGGGGCAGGTAGTCTGTTCTGCCTTCCTGACATTTCTTGACTTGGAAAATGAAAAGAAGACTAGTTCTACTATATCAGGTGGAAAACTCTGTCCCTTTTCAGGGTCCTCTCCCTTTTTCCCAAGGGCTGGAGGTGATGCTTCCTGCCTGGGAGAAGACCTTCTAATCTACCTTGTTTGATATCCAGGAGCTTCTTCCCTATCTGTCCACTGAGCTGGACAAATTCTCTTGCCAGCATCTCTCCCCACCACCCAGGCCCCACAACTTACATTCACCTATATTTTGAAATTCATGAGCAACCGCCTAAGTCAACAGATGAGACTTGCAGGCCTGTGGAGAAAAACTCATTTGTCTTGGTGGCAATAGAAGTCACAAGGCTGAGAAAGGAAAAACGCCCTCTCCTCCAGAGGGGAAGACAGAACCAGGATGATATAAATTCAGAAAGAGGCAGAGAACGGATTGTATCATATCTCCCCCGGTCCTTTGGGGTCCATGTAAGGGACCCAAGTCTTCCCTATTCCCACCTACTCACCGTGTCACGGTCTGCTGCCATTTTTAATTCCAAGACCTTATATTCCACCAAGAGCCTGCTGCACTTTGACCACCAGGCCTCAAACTCCTGAGTAGACCCTGCCAGGGTGGCCAGTCTAGCAGCTGAGATGGCTCAGCACTTAAGCTGACCCATACTGGGTCTATGACTAGGCCCAATGCCCTCAGGGTCGGGGCTGCCTGTCTGAGCCTGGATGTGAGAAGAAATAAAATCCAACTCAAGAGGAGGGATTTGCTACCTCCCAATTTGAGACAGGAGCCTCATCAGGTCCCTTCCCCTCTCCCTGTCCCAAAGACCTTTTCACAGATGCTCTTGGGGAAAGAGCTATCCATGTTACCTTTCCATCCCCACTTTTCCCAAGACATAAAACTGCAGCTGAACCAAAGACAAGTCAGAAAAGAGAAAGCCAGAGATATGGGTGGCCTTCCCCCATCCTGGAGGCCTCCATGTGCAGCCTGGGTGGAGGCCTTGAGTTGACCACCATGTAGAACCTTGGGTACAAATGAGGGGGGACACACAGCTGGTGCTCCCCAGGGTTGAGGTGTGCCAGAGGCTCCAGGCCATGGCTCTGCTCTGTCTCTTAATGCTCTGGGTAGAGTTAGACTTACTGAAGGCGGTGGGGATTCTCGGCCAATCAGAGGGGTGTTCTCACATCGAGGGTTCTGGAAATTCGCATTCTGGCTCCTGTGGAAAAGGGCAAGAATGTGAACTTGTGTGAGTTAACCATGGCCTTGCAAGCCCTTTGGGGGATTCCCCCTTCCCATCCCCACAACTGTGAAAAAAAAGTATCTCCTATTATTCCCTTGGGTACTTAGGATCCTGCTTCACAGGAACCAGGTATTTTTGTAACCCCACTTGCAAAAAACATATTTTTACTGATATCTTTTATTTTTAAATCTCTCTTCTTCTTCCCTCTCAAAGACTCATATCTTATAACAAAAATAAAAACAATTAAAGAGGGAAAAGAGGGGAAAAGTCAGCAAAACCTATCAAAACTTTGAAAAAAATCTAACATTCTATGTAAGGGTCCACACTGGTGGACCCACTCCCCAGCACCTCTACAAAGAGTGAGGGGAAGGATCTTCTCCTATCTTTTCTTTGGAACCAAGCCTGTCCTTTGCAATATTGCAACACTCATTTGGATTGTTGGGTGGAGGTTGTTTTTGCCACCTAGGCTGCTGGAGTGATTGTGTATATAGTTTTCTTGGCTCTGCTTAGCTCATTAGGTATTTTGTCAAGGTTTTCAATCATGGATTTGGAACAAATGGACACCTGTGCTGTCCAAATCGGGGGAGGGGGTTGGGGAAGAGAGAGGGAGGCAGGTCCCGTCCCCCCCCAATTGAGCCTCCAGTGATGACCATACTCTCAGCACAGTCCTACTCCCTCACCAGCCTCTAACAACAATAACTCTCACTGGTACAGCAATTTACAGTTGATGCTGTGTATTATCCCCATTTAAATAGGAGGAAATTGGGGTTCAGAGGGTTTGTTGACTTAATAATGGTCACACAGTTAGTAAGAGAGAGAGAGAGGCTGGATTTGAACTCAAATCCTCTTGACTCCAGGGCCCTAGTGCCCCGATAACATTTGTTTCAACCTCATCTTCAATTCCCAATATATCCCTCTCTTATCATTTTTTAAGCATGCTGCTTGTTAGAGCTAGAAAGGACTTTAGGAATCATTTAATCCTTCCCTTCACATAGTACACGTGAGTCAGAAACAGAACTCAGTCTTTGGACTCAATTTTCAGCTCTTTCAAAGTCCCATTTTAATGTCCATTCAAGGGGTAACAAGGCACGCCATCCGTGATGTTAAGAGGCAGCTAGATGGCACAATGATAGTGTTGGACTCAGAGTCAGGAAGACTTGCGTTCAAATCCTACCTCAAATATTTTACTAGCTGTCTGACTCCAGGCAAACTACTCCAGTTTTAGCCTCGGTTTCTTCCTTTGCAAAATGGAACAATAATAGCACCTCCCTCAGAGAACTATTTGGAATAAGGACACATGAGGATGAGGAAATAGTACGTCCAGCCCTTTGCAAACCTGAAAGAACTATCTAAATGTCAGGCATTGAGTCCAGAGTTAGAGGAAGGGAGGATTGCTGGCTCAGAGGACTATGCTGCCTCCCACCACAAACTCTGGATGTGGGGGGTGGGGAGTGCTCTGCCTCATCAACTCACATGTACTCCGTGACAGGGGCATTGCTGACTGTGTGTGCTGCTGCAGGGATGCTGGTCTCACTACCATAGCTGCTCCCACAGCTGTAAAGACTGGGCATGTGTACTCGATAGAGGTTGTCATGGGTCTGCCTGGTTCCTGGAGCCACAGATTCTTCCTCCCCATCGTCATCGGCAGCCCTAGATGAGCAAAATGGCATCAGTAAAGTGAGTGAGGAGATGGGTGGTCAGAAGAGAAAAGGCCTGACAGCAGACAAAAGACTGGAACTGTAAGGCTTGGCTCTTGTTTTCCTAGGAAGCATTAACTGGTCAATGTAAAAAACATTGATTAAACATCTACTATGTGACGGTCACCATGCTAGGCAATGGAGATAAAAAGGTAGCACGCCTCTTCAAGAAACTTACATTCTAAAAAAAAAAAAAAAAAAGAAACTTACATTCTATTAGGAGACACACAACATGTATACCTAGGAGCACATGTATTTAAAATATATTCAAGATAAATACAAATAAATTCAAAGTAATTATATTATTTCTAGTTATTTCATGTTTGAAAGTCCACTTTCTCAATTTATGAATAAAAACACTTTAGAGCAGAGGTGTCAAATTCCTGCTTCTTTCTTGTCTTCCTATACTTCACTCCTCTCCACATGCTGTACAATTCAGTCATACTGGCCTCCCCGCACACAACATTCTCTCTCCTCACTCTATATGTTTTAACTGATTGTCCTCCAGACCTAGAACGTTCCCCTTACTCATCTCTTTCCTTCCTTCAATACTCAGCTCGATTTCTACCTTCTGCAGGAAGCCTTTCCTGTTCTTCCTCCCACACTGCTAATGCCTTCCCTCTGAGATGACCTCTGATTTACTCTGCATGTACTGTGTATGTACATGATTTTTGGTATGTTGTACCCCTCCTCTGGATGTGTGGGCAGGGACTGCTTTTGTTTAGCACAGTGCCTCAAACATAGCAAGCACACGCTGCCTGGCAAACTTTCTCATGAGCTCCTTCTCCACTGGATTTGCCCCTGACTGTGTACCTTTCCCATGTCTCTTTCCATCCGACATACAACTCATAGACACTTGGAGCTGATCAGAGGGCCAGAGAGACCCTGCTAGGAGAGCTGTTTCTTTTATCCATATGCAGCTCTGATCAGATAACAGGAGCTTATCTGGAGCCTTACCCCCATCCACTCAATCCCTTTCTTTCCCATTGACAACTAGAGCCTTTCATCTTCCTTGAGTGTTTTTAAAAAACCAGTATGACAAAAATATTTATCCCAACCTTGCCTAGGAGTGGGGCAGTCACCACAAAGGCACCCAAGCAAACCAACAAGTCCACATCACGGGACTCTGATCATTTCTGCTCCCTCCCATATTCAGACAGTAAAAAGGTCAGGTCATCCCTCGGTCTCTCCAGGGTGAGCCTCATATTTTGACCAAGGCCATCTGTCCCAGACTCAGCGTGTTATAGAAAACACACTAGATTTGCAGTGAGGGACCCTGGTTTCCACTCTTGACTCTTACTAACTGGCTCTGTGACCATGAAATAACTTTCTTAGTCTCAGTCCTAAAAATGAAGAGGATACCACCTGCCTTGCCTACCCTATGGGTTGTTATGAGGATCAGATGAGATAATCAAACAATAAGCATTTATTTAGCACCTACTGTGGACCAGACACCACGGCTAGGCTGTGGTAATACAAAATGAAAGTCCTTATCCTTATGGATCTTCCATTCTACTGGGGAGAAACAACACATACACAAGAAAGCATGGCAGATACAAATATATCTATATCTATATCTATATCTATATCTATATCTACCTATCTATCTATTCAACATGTCAAAAATAGAGCTTATTATCTAAGTGGTGCACTGAACAGAGTGTAGGACCTAGAGTCAGGAAGACCTGAGATCAAATCCCAGCTCAGACACTTACTATCTGTATGACCCTGGGCAAGTCACTTAACTTTTGTTTGCCTTGTGTGTAAAATGGGGATAATAACAGCACCTACCTTGAAGGGTTATTGTGAGGCTCAAATGAGATATTAATTATAAAGCACTTAGCACAGTGATTGGCCCATAGTAAGTGCTATACAAATGCTAACTATCATTATTATTATTATTTCTCCCAAAGTCCAATACAAGGTAATTTTTTGGAAGAGATACACATATATCTGGGGGAAGTAAAAAAAACCTCATGTAGGAGGTGACATATGAAGGAAACTGAGGTGAGAAATGTATGATCTCCATCAGATTGCTTGCCTTCTCAACAAGGGGACAGAGGGAAGGACAGAATTTGGAACTCAAAATTTTTAAAAAAAACAAATGTTAAAAATGGTTTTTATATGTAGTTGGCGGGGGGGGATAAAATTTTAAATTAAAAAAGAAAAGAAAAAGAGGTTGAGGTGAGAAAGGAAGTTATCCCAGGAGGGAAGACAGCCTGGGCAAAGGGATGGGAGAAGGAATGTCATATGTGAAAGACAGCAAGAAGGTTGGGCAATTGAGAGGGAAAGGGGGGTCATTTACAATAAGCCTGAAAAAGTAGATTGGAGCCAATTTGCAGAGGGCTTTAAATGTCAGAGAGTTACTGGAATTAATTGAGCAGCAGTCAATAACATGCTCAGATAATGTGCTTTAAGAATATCACTTTGGGAGGGCAGAGCCAAGATGGCGGCAGGAAAGCAGTGACTGTCTTGAGCTCTCTCCCAAAGACCTCCAAATACCTAAAAAAATGGCTCTAAACAAATTCTAAAGCAGCAGAACCCACAAAAAGACAGAGTGAAACAAATTTCCAGCCAAAGACAGCCTGGATGGTTGATCAGAAAGGTATATCGTGCTGGGTGGGGAGAAGAGCGCAGATTGGTGTGGGCGCGCAGGCCATAGCGATCCTGGAGCAGGCCTCAGAGGACTGAATCGCCAGCAGCTGTGGCGGTTTCCAGACTCCTCAACCCACGAACGCCAAAGACAACTTAGAAGGTCAGTGGGAAAAGTCTGTGACTGTGGTGAGAGAGGAGCTAGGTCTCAGCTGCAAGTCTCGAGTGTGGCCCGGGGCCACGGCTGTTTCCTGAGCTTCCAGCCCACAGACTGAGGGGGAATCAAGTGGCTGATCAGAGGGGGATTGCACGGATCTCTTTGCCAGTGCTGAGGCAGGAATCTCTTGCTTTACCGGTGCTTGGATCTGGGTCACAGTTCTGAGGGGTGGTCCTGGGGCAAGAAGGAGCGCTGGTGTGGTGGAGATTGATGTGGCGGTGGAGAGGAAACACCTCGTCCCTTATCATAGCACCTAGGAAGAACTGAAAATTTTTAGGTCCCTAGAAGTAACTCTGAAAACAGCTGTACAAACCCCCAAAGCTTGGGATAGTATACTCTTCACATTGGAAGCAGACTTTTACCTTAACAAAGAGTTTAAAATTCAAGTAATTGGCTGGGATCATGAGTAAGCAGCGCAAAAAGAGTCAGACTATATTATCTCACTTTGGTGACAAAGAAGATCAAAACATACAACCAGAAGAAGACAACAAAGTCAAAGCTCCTACATTCAAAGCCTCCAACAAAAATATGAATCAGGCCCAGGCCTTGGAAGAGCTCAAAAGGGATTCTGAGAAGCAAGTAAGAGAAGTAGAGGAAAAACTGCAAAGAGAAATGAGAGTGATGCAAGAAAATCATGAAAAGCAAGTTAACAGCTTGCTAAAGGAGACTCAAAAAAAATACTGAAGAAAATAACACCTTAAAAAATAGCCTAACCCAAATGGCAAAAGAGGTTCAAAAAGCCAATGAGGAGAAGAATGGCCTAAAAAAAATATCACTTTGGGGTGCAGCTAAGGTGGCACAGCGGATAGAGTGCTGGCCCTGAAGTCAGGAGGACCTGAGTTCAAATCTGGCCTCAGACCAAACACTTGACACTTACTAGCTGTGTGACTCTGGGCAAGTCACTTAACCCCAATTGCCTAAAAAAAAAAAATATATCACTTTGACCACTGGTAAAGAGATGAACTAGGGAGGGAAAACATGTGAGGTAAGGAGCCCAGTTAGGATACTGTAATAGTTCAGAAAGAAGGTTACGAGGGCCTCAACTAGCATGGGAACTGCATGAGTGGAGAGGAGATGGATGTGAAATGTTGTTGAGGAAGAATCAACCAGCCTCAGTAAATAACTGGACATGTGAAATGAAAGAGGGTAGGGCTGATGGGAAGGATGGTAGTAGCACTCCTGACAGAGAGAAGTTCGGTAGAGGGGAAGGTTGGGGTGAAAGATCAGTTCCATTTTAGACACATCCAAGATGCCAACAGGGCATCCAATTTGAAATATAAAAGTTCTTCAAATGCTAAAGAGTGCAACACAAATATATGGGATTACTACTACTTTTTTCATTAGGATTACTACTACTTTTTTCATTAACAGTTAAGAAGACTTCATATTTTCCCATGTTATATTCCACTTAGCTAGCAGGTGGCAGGCAAGATCCAACAATGTCAGGTTAATACTTTAGTAACTGGGCTCCTGGATGAAATCTTTGAATCTTAAAGAGTTTAAAAGGGTTTTAATCGTGATTTAATTGTTGTAGGAAAACTTTCTATTAATGCAATTTCATACTATCTCTTCAACTAATAGTCTGTCTGGAGGATTGAGAAGTAACGTATTTAGTCCAGGGTAACAGTCAGCAGGTTCCAGAGGTAAGACTTGAACCCAGGTCTTACAGATAGTGAGACCAGGTCTCTAACCCACTATGTCACCACAAAAAGCAATTTAGATCCCTTGCTGGATGCATGACTCTTCTATATAATATCCTTAGATGAGGATAGTTTGAACATCTGGGGTGTCAGGGAGTTCACTTGCTATTGAGGCAACTCATTCCATTTTGGGGCAATTTTCTAAGATTTAAAATGTCTTCCTTAGATTGAGCCCAAATCTATTCCCCACTCAGCCTTCAACTCATCCGTCCTATTTCTGTCCAGGGGATAAATCAAAATAAGCCTAATTCCCTCTCCCATATAAGCAAGACTTTGAATATTTTTTTTTAAGGCAATTGGGGTTAAGTGACTTGCCCAAGGTCACATAGCTAGTAAGAAGACTGAATATTTGAAGACAGAAATAGTCTTCTCACCATTAGTTTCTTTAAATTAATTTTCATACAACTAAGGCTGAACTAACTTCCCATTTTCCTCTTCCTTAAATAGGAACAAACAGGAAGTTTCCCCTTTCTCCTCCCATACTCACCCCACCCAATTCTATTTGCTTCTGAGGAGGCCAGTATCTTGGCCCTCTCTTCCGATGGAATGGTGTCTCAGGGTTGCCTCCACTTTCCAGTCGTCAACTCCTCCTCTGTTTAACTGAATTTATCTTTTTAAAATCTATCTGAGGGTATATTTATTAATATCTGTTCTGGGTATAGCTTGCTAGGTTCATCTCTGAGTCCTGTAGATTAATATAACTGCTCAGAGCCCTAGAGAATATCTACAGCCTAACTCAGTCACTCAATAAGCATTGAATACTAAAGGAATTCTACTTAATTGAACACTAAAGGAATTCTAATGAAGTACCTACTATGTGCCAGGCACTGTGCTAAATGCTGGGGATATAAAGATATATATGGGGATATAAAGAAAGGCAAAAGACAGTCCCTGCCCTCAAGGAGCTCACAATCTAATGGGGGAGACAACATGAAAATCAAACATAAGTATGTGCAAACAAGCTATTTATAAGATAAGTAGGGAATAAATCAAGAGGGGAGGCACTAGAATTAAGAGGGTTGGGAAGCACTTTCTGTAGAAGGTGGGATTTTACCCCCAAATAATATAAGTGCCCATTCCTCTGCACAGTCCTTCCCCTGCGTTATAGGTCTCCCCTCTCTTACCTTTTCTGCTGCCAGGTATGAGGAACGCTGCACACAATAGAGCTGAACATGAGGGCCGTGACGAAAGAGAAAAGCACCAGGTAGATGAGACCCTCTACGCCATCATAGCAGAAGCCAGTCAGAGCCTGGACATAATCCTAAAGGGGGCAGGACCAAAAGAACTCTTAGTTCAGCCAAACTACCTTTTCTCTAAAGCCAATGGTTAAGACACATGTTGGTCTATGGCCTCTCTTGACATTTCTTTGTTTCTTAGTCTTGTGTAGCTAATCTTGTCCAGAATCACTTTCAAGGCCATATTTGTTATTGTTATTGTTCAGGCATTCGATCATATCTGACTCTTCATGACCTCATGACCATGAGGTTTTCTTGGCAAAGATACTGGAGTGGTTTGCCATTTCTTTCTCCAGTGGATTAGGGCAAACAGAGGTTAAGTGACTTGCCCAGGGTCACACAGCTAGTAAGTGTCTAAAGACAGATTTGAACTCAGATCTTATTGACTCCAGGTCCTGCACTCTATCCACTGAGCCACCCAGCTTCCTCCTTCAAAGCCATATGGGTTGCATCAAATTCATTCATTTGAGTGGTACTCTTGGTAGCAATGACTCTGAGCAAAGCCAACCAAGAAAGGGTCATGGTGACAGTTTGGTGGCAACAGTCTAGAGACTGTGGAAAAAGGCAATTCTGACAGAGAACAATAGCAGGAAATTAACCTCTCTTGCATCGGAGTAATAGCAAAGTGTTGGATTTGGAGTCAAAGAACGCAGATTACAAACCCCAGTTCTGCCACTAAACTGTTTGTTTGACCTTGGGCCTCTCTCTGGGCCTCAGTTTCCTCCTGTGTAAAAATGGGGTAGCTAGGTGGCCCAATAGACACAGTACTGGATTTGGAATCAGGAAGACTCATCTTCATGAGTTCAAATCCAGGTTTAGATACTAACTAGCTGTGTGACCCTGGGCAAGTCACTTAATCCTGTTTGCCTCAGTTTCCTTATCTACAAAATGAGCTGGACAAGGAAATGGTAAATCACTTCAGTACCTTTGACAAGAAAACCCCAAAATGGGGTCACAGAGAGACAGACACAAATGAAACGACTGAACAACAAAAATTAAGAAGTTGGATTGGACTAGATGAACTTTAGGGTCCCTTCTAGCTCTGACATCCTGTGATCTTGTGGGTTGCTCTCCAACAGCCCACAGCCCAAGATCTAAGTATGCTCTGATGCAACATGCATGTGGCATGAGCCTGTTATTTTAACCACAGCTTTGGGGGAACCCAATCCAGAGCTGGATCAGAAATCTTCACCTTCTAAAAACATAGCAGCAGAGAGCAGCATACCAATTTATGAGTCTTTCCAAGTTTTTCTAGGCCATTGCATATGCTATTTCTCTTGACTGAGCAGTCTTTCTCTCTTCTCTGGTTATTAAAATTCTATCCACAGAGGTAGCTAGATGGCACAGTGGATAGAGAGCAGGGCCTGGAGTTAGGAAGACCCAAGGTCAAATCCAGCCTCAGACACTTACTAGTTGTGTGACCCTAGGCAAGTCACTTATCCCTGTTTGCCTCAGTTTCCTCATCTGTGAAATGAGCTGGAGAAGGAAATGGTAAACCATTCCAGCATCTCTGCCAAGAAAACCCCAAATGGGGTCATGAAGAGTCAGAAATGACTGAAAACCAATGAAAACAACATCCATACTATAAAGGCCAGGACAAGTCCCACCTCCATGATGCCTTCTCTAAATAGTCCAGCTCATAGGGATCTTAAAGTATCTTAGAGTCAGAAGGGATCTCATAGGTAAAGTAGCACAGCAGAAAAAAAAAATATTGCATATGGAGTCAAGTGATCTGGGTCTGAAACTCAGACACTTACTAGTTGTCTGATCCTGGCCAAGCGACAACCTCTTAGATCCTCCGTTTCCTTATCTGTAAAAGGAGATAATACACTACCAGCTTCTATAAATCTTCAAGTGCTAAATGGATTTAGTTTTTTATTTAGACTGGACCTGTGATTTAATTGGCACAAGGAACTCCCAATAAGGAAACTCTATCTATGCAGATGAACACCTGCTCTGAATATTATAATTTTAGTTTCCTGGGGCAGTAAGAGATAAAATGACCTGCCCAGAGTCACATAACTTGTATGTGTCAGAGGCAAGACTGGAATCCAGGTCTTCTGGACTTCAAGGCAGGCTCTCTGTCTACTATGCCACACACACCACTTCAAATGTGAATTTCATTATCATCACCATCCAGTTGGACCAAAAATAATTTCTACATCATGCCCAACGTGGTCACTGAGCCCATGCCTGAAGGCCTCTAGTGAGAGGGAACTCTCCTGAGTACCTCCTGAGACAGTCATCCCACTCCCAAGCAACTAGACATTCTTAAGCCTATATGGCAGGTTTATGTTCCAGAACCTTCTGACCATTTAGTCTTCCCTCTTCCTGCCTCTGGTACTTACTGCCACCCCTACCCCTAAATCTTTGGGGCTTAAGATGCACAAAATGCTTTCAAATGAACCACCATAGGCTCAAGGAAAAACCTATACATTCTGGATGACTTTGCATTTTGTCTCACCAGCCACACGCTCTTCCCAGCTCCCCTACATGTAACACTCAGGCTCTAGACAAATGCTGCTAAGAATCTTCTTTAATGGGCACTCACCAGATGCAGGCTGCGGCAATCCACCAGGGCGGTCAAATGCTGTAGATTGATCTCTGTGGAATTCAGAACTTCCTGGATGCGTATGAGATAATCCTGGAAATAACAAGGCAAGAAGAATTAAATACGACCACCTTTAGACCTAAAAGGGTATGCTCTGGGTCTGCTGTCGGTGGGTTATGGGACTGGAGTGACTTCCTCCCCCTCCCACCAGTGGTGGGGATGGATTATAATTAATCCATCCACAGCCTTTCACCTAGAATTCTTCAAGGTCAGTGAAAATGTGAGCTGAGACAAGAAAGGAAACTGATAGTCGAAGAAAAGGATGACATTAACTAGCTCATGACATTAACTAGCTCATTAACTAGCTCCATGATGCCTTCTCTAACTAGTCCAGCTCATAGGGATCTTAAAGTATCTTAGAGTCAGAAGGGATCTCATAGGTAAAGTAGCATAGCAGATGCTTACTGCCCTTGCGGATGCAACCCCTAACTATGGCCCTATCAGCCTTGTGCTCCAATTGCTAAATAAACTAAACACCACAAAGTGACAGTTAAAAACAGAGTGGAGGTTTGGAGAGAGAGTTTACCCCCTGCCTAGGAGCAAAGGGTTTTAAGAAACCATGGGACCCTTTCCCAACTCTTACCTTGGAGGTGGGGTACTCTCTAAGCGCAGACCTCAAGAGCTCCAGAACATCATCTTGCATTTCCACCAGGGCTTTGTGACTCCCAGACAGCTTCTGTTCAATACAAATGTGGCCAGCTCAGCTCCCAGACGGAGATGGGGCCGAACCGTCTTTACCTCATCCCCTACTGCCCTACTGTCCCCTAATGGGGACATCCCTCTTCACGGTCAATGCCCGGAGTAATTTATCACTTACCCTGGATCTGCTCACATTCTGTACCCTGGGATTGCATCTCCCAAAACATCCCTCAAAGGAGGATTAGAAGATGTGCTGTGGTAATGTACCCCTGCCTAGCTGGTTTGCCACCACAGCCTATCAGTTTTTCCCTGCCCTTCTTGAACTTAACCGGTTGCCAACTAATCACTTTTCAAAAAGTAACAAAGGCAGTGAAAAGAACACAGAACTGGGAGTCAGTTACTCTTCTACTTCCACAACAATAACAACAACAATACTGATAGACAGCTGCATGGTGTAGTGGATAGAGCATGGGGCCTGAAATCAGGAAGACCTGAGTTCAAATGTGACCTCAGCCCTTTACTAGCTATGTGACCCTGGGCAAGTCACTTAACCTCTGTTTGCCTCGATTTCTTTATCTGTAAAATGGGGATAGTAATAGCACTCATCTTGAAGGGTTGTTGCAAGGATCCAATGAGATAATATTTATAAAATACTTAGCACAGTGCATGGCACATAGTAGCTACAATATAAATGTTAGCTATAATAATGATGATGATGATGATAATGATGATGACTAGCACAGGGCTTAAGGTTTGCAAAGTGTCATATGTGTTACCTCATTGGATCGTCACAGCAGCCCTGACAGGTGGGTGTTATTATTATCATCATTTTACAGATGAGGAAATTGAAGCAGGCAGAAGTTAAAAGATTTGTCCAGGGCTGCCCACAGCTAAATAAATGTCTGAGGTGGGATATGAACTCAAGTCATCCTGACTCCAGGTCGAACACACTTACTCACTGCATCACCTAGCAATCTACAAGTCACCTAACCTTTCTGAGACTTTTCTTCTGTAAAATGGGTATAATGCCACCTACCCTGTCTACCCTCATGGATTGACATAACCAAATATAGTAAAGAAAAAAGTAAAGTTAAAAAAAAAGAACTGCAGTTGGTAATTATTATTACTACCAGGAATATTAGATTCCTTCTCATTCTCCATTCCCTTTTCCCACTTGGTTGTTTCCCTTCTCATTTTAACTGTGTTGATTTTGCTTCTACAAAAGCTTTTCAAAATGTATGTAATCAAAATTGTCCATTTTCCTTTATGATCATCTGTATCTGTTGTTTAAAGAATTCTCCCTCTGTCCATAGTAGTGAAAGGTCTTGCCTTCCCTCTCCTCCAATTTACGATCCAAATTTTTATATTTGGGTCATTTATGGAGTATTTATGGCATACTGTGTAATAGATCAAGCTAAGCCTAATATCTGCCTTATGGCTTCACAATTTTACCAGCAGTTTTTTTGTTGAATAGGGAGGCCTTACTCCAGTAATTGGTATCCCCTGGCTTTTCAAATATGTTTGATTATGTCCCCTCCATATCCCTTTCACTACTGCCCACCACTCAAACCTATCCGTGGACGGTACTCAACTTTCCCCAGAGAATTTGCTAGTACAGGTTATCAGCAATTCTTTTTCCCACAGGAGCTCAATCCCAGCGTGCCACTGGGCTCAGAGCAAGTTTGTGAGAACCAACTCATCCCTGTAGCAATCTCATTAGTTTTCTCACTGGTACCCAGGAGCCAGGGCTCCCTCCAAACTTCAAAAGGATAAAATATGAGAGACAATGACCATCATAAGAGATGAAATGGCCATTTCATGGGGAAAGGCTGGATCAGCCTAGAGGAATCAAGCTAGGATTTAGTAGGAGGGAAGGTTCCCTTAGGGAGAAGCTGGCTTGTCCCCAAGGGTCGCCTCAGGTTTGCCTTCCCTGGCAGCACAGTGACCTTTTGATACCTTCTGGGCTCTGCTGTTCACCAGAAGTACAATCATGGTTCTGAGGTCTAAAAGCCTCATGTTCAAATGGGTTTGGGGGGGCAGGACTAAGCTATTTCTATTCTCTATAGGGAACCAGAACAAGACAGGAAGAACGTTTTCTTCCCAGACTGGCTGGAGATCAGATGGAAAACCTCAAAGCTCTCCTTTTCCCAGGATGCTATGGTTTTGGTGTATAAGAAAGTAAATCTGGCCTCATGGCTAGAGAACTACTCACCTGCTGAAAGGGGTTTATGTATCCAGCCGAACAGTCCAAGTAATAGTGAAGGATCTCTGGGAATAGAAAGAAAAGTCTTCTGAATGCAGCTATCACTGCCAATGGATAGCCATTGATTACCTTTAAGGAGGTAGGTATTAGGCAGGCCCCAGTATTTTAGGCACATAGGTAAAGTCTAGAAGGCAGCTAGGTGGCACAGTGGTTAGAGCACTGAGCCTGTAGTTAGGAAGACCTGGGTTCAAATTTAGCCTCTTACTCTAGACACTTACTGGCTGTGTGACCCTGGCTAAGTCACTGTTTGCCTCAATTCCTCAAATGTAAAGTGAAGATAATGATAGCACCTAAGTCCCAGGGCTGTTGGGAGATAATATTTGTAAAGTGCTTATGCATATTTCTTTCCTTCCTAGGGAGCTGAAAGGGACCTTGAAAGCTCTTTAATCCAACCATAATCCAATTGTTTTACAGATGAGGAAACTGAGGCTCAAGGAAGTTATGTGCTTTGTCACCATCACACATATTGAATCACAGATTTAGAGAAGGGACCCCACAGGTTATCTAGTCCATTCTCGTCCACCATCCCAAAAGAAGCATGTGATCTTGAGTAAGGCATTTCAGATCTCTGGGCCTCAGTTTCCTCATCTCTAAAATGAGGAAGTTGGATTAGATGACCTCAGAAGTCCCAAGCTATGATCCTCTAACTTTCTGAAAAATGATCAAGGAGTTCCCCATTATACCATGAAGCCAGAAGAAACCTTAATTTATGTTGATGCCTTTCATTTTTACATCATATTCATTTGAGAACACCCCTCCCCACTCTCCTATTTGTTGAGCCTTAACAAAGGTTAAAAAAAAAGTTCATATGCCCAAAGGGCTATAAAAATGTGCATACTCCTTGACCCAGCAATACCACTTCTAGGTCTGTATCCCAAAAAAATCATACAAATGGGAAAAGGACCCACATGTACAAAAATATTTAGAGCAGCTCTTTTTGTGGTGGCCAAGAATAGGAAATTGAGGGGATGCCCATCAACTGAGGAATGGCTAAACAAGTTGTGGTATATGAATGTAATGAAATACTACTGTGCTATAAGAAATGAGAAGCAGGCAGACTTCAGAAAAACCTAGAAGACTTTTTTGAACTGATGCTGAGTGAAGTGAGCAGAACCAGGAGAACATTGTACACAGCAACAGCCATGTTGTATGATGACTGACTCTCATAAACTTGGATCTTAGCAATGCAAGGATCTAAGACAACTCCAAAAGACTCATGATGGAAAACGCTGTCCACATCCAGAAAAAGAACTATGGAGTCTGAATGCAGATTGAAGCATGCTATTTGATCTCTTTTTTCTTTTGTTGTTTTGTTTTGTTTCTTCTTTCTCATGGTTCCTCCCGTTGGTTTTAATACTTCTTTACAACATGACTAATGTGAAAATATGTTTAATATCAATGTATATGTAGAGCCTATATCAGATTGCATTCTATCTTGTGGAGGGGGAGAAAATTGAAAACTCAAAAGTCTATGGAAGTGAATGTTGAAAACTAAAAATAAATAAATTAATTAAAGCAAAAAAAAAAAGTTCAATAAAACAGACCAACATCTCAGAGAATATACACTATCTACACTCACAATCCCCTACCTTTCACACAGAAGGAAGAAGATGGCAGAAGTTTTAACTCACTAGTTATGTGACCTTAGGTAGATCCCTTAACCTCCCTGAGTTTTACCTTCTTCATCTATAAAATGGGGACAATAATATTTCTACTACCTACCTTGTAGGGTTATTGTGAGGAAAGTGCTTTGTTAACTGTAAGAGGCCATATAAATGTAAAGTATTGTTACTGTTGTTTTCAGCAATATAGATACAGTTCAATTATCCACTTCATGGAGAGGTGACAGTGACACGGATGATCAATAGCACTGGGTGATTTTTGATAATGCTATTTGGCTTTGGAATATAATCGGTGATTTAAAAAAAAAACAACTGAACTTCCTAATTATGCCTACTCACACCACCAGATGGTGTGCTCAAGCCTGGAAACATTTTATAAGGCAGAGAAATGCCAGTCTGGGATTTTACAGAAGATCCAAAGCAGTAAGCAACAGGTGGATAATAGAACATTTACTTTTAAAAGTCATTCAATAAAATAGCCTTTATATGTTCATGGACAAAATTTTCTTTCAAAGCCTTCCTCTCTCCTCATTCACTCTGTGATTAAAAAAAAAAAAACCAATCCTGTTGGGGACATGGGACAAGCTGGGATGTGATGCAGATAGAGGACATTTTAGCAAGTTTCTAGGATTCTTGGAAGGAGGCAGCTAGGTGGCTCAGCAGATAAAGCATTGGGCCAGGAGTCAAGAACACTTGAGTCCAAATCTAGCCTCAGACACTTACTAGCTGTGTGACCCTGGTAAGTCACTTAACCTCTGTTTGCCTTAATCCAGTGGAGAAGGAAATGGCAAACCACTCCAGTATCTTTGCCAAGAAAACCCTATAATAGGGTCATGAAGAATCAGACGAGACTGAACCACAATCACAAGGATTCTCGGAAAAGGGGAACGATAACCCCCCCTGCTCAGCCCATGTAGGGTGGATATGAGGGAGGATCAAAAGAGGTAACAGGTGTGAAAACACAAACGTGAAGTCTTAGACCACAGGGATTCTAATCTTTTTCTTAAAATGTTCCTGCCCTATAGCAGCAACACCGTCTCTTTGCCCCATGCCACGTGTGAGAAGTCTGATTCTCATTCTGACTGTAGTTTTACAACCTCAGTCGCACACATTCACACGTTTAGAGATAGAGTGGATCTTAGGAGGTGTCTGGTACAACCCCCTCCCTCATTCTGCAAAGAAATGAAGACCACGGACAGTGAAATGATTTGCGTAGGGTCACAAAGGCAGTAAGCACCAAAGGAGGGATTTTCAAATTTCAAATAGATTCGATAGGGTCAGAGGATTATAGATCTACAGCTAAAAGGGCCCTTAAAAGTAATTTAATCCAACTCCCTCACTTTACAAATGAGGAAATGGAGGCAAATAAGGTTAAGTGACTTGTCCAGGGTCGCACAGCTAGGAAGCGTCTGAGGCCAGATTTGAATTCAGGAAGATGAGTCTTCCTGACTAGGCTCGGCGCTCTGTCCACTGAACCACCCTGCTGCCCCATCGTACACGGACGCATAAATACTAAATACACACCAAGTAAATGCAAAGTTATTTCAGAGACGACAGCAGTGTCAGCTGAAGGGAGGATGGAATCAGCAAAGGCCCAGCATAGGAAGTGTCACTTCTATGGAGCCTTGAAGTGAGGAAAGGGATTCCAGAGCAGATTCCAGACATGGAAGACAGCTTGTGCAAAGGCACCAAGGTGGGAAATGAGAGCAGCAAGCACAGGCTCACCGTGGCTGGAACGGGACACTAGACTGCTTGAGGAGTTATAACATTAAATAAGTCTGGGGGGCAGCTAAGTGGCGCAGTGGATAGAGCACTGGCCCTGAAGTCAGGAGGACCTAAATTCAAATCTGGCCTCAGACCAGACACTTGACACTTACTAGCTGTGTGACCCTGGGCAAGTCACCTAACCCCAATTGCCTTAAAAAAAAAGATAAGTCTGGACAGACAGACTGGAGCCAGACTGTGAAGGGCTCCGAATGACAAACAGTGACACTGAGGTCAGTACAAGAGGAGAACAGCCCACTCACCCAGTTCTCGTCAGCAGAAACTGCCATCCGTTGTTCCTCACTCCCTAAGCCGCCTTCATTCATTCATTCATTCATTCATTCATTCAATCAAAAACACTTACTATATCCTAGGCATCGCGGATACAAGGACAAAAATAAAAGTCTTTATCTTCAAGGAACTTATATTCTACAGGGAGTGATAAGGTATCTATATTTATATATGTGTATGTAGATATAGATTTATTCATACATATACATGTATTTACAAAGTAAATAAAAAGAAATCGGGGATGATAGTAATAATACAAAGGAGGAGGAGGAGGAGAAGAAGAGAAGGAAGAAGATGAGAAGAGGAGGAGGAGAAGAAAAAGCAACAGGAAGAAGAGGAAGAGGAGGAGAAAAAGAATGAGGAGGAAAAGAATGGCTAACATTTATTTAGTGTCTAAAGGTGTGCAAAGCACTGTCCACATGTTACCTCATTTGATCCCCACAACAACCACAACAACAATATTATTATCAAGTAGGTGTTGTCATTATCCCCTTAATCAGAAAAGGGATCACAAAAGGCTCAATATACAAATGGCAGTTTCTAGGAATTCTAAGAAAGAAGTGAATAGGGAGTACATTGTAGACATTGGAGAGAGCCAACATGAAGGCCTAGAGAGCAGAACAGAATGCTCTGTGTTCACGTGTCCTGGTGGATCTACTCCCCTACACTTCATTTATTTTAATTTATTTTAATTTTTCTAATTAATTTTTTTTTTTTTTGGTGAGGCAATTGGGGTCAACTGATTTGCCCAGAGTCACATAGCTAGTGAGTGTTACGTATCTGAGGCCGGATTTGAACTCAGGTCCTCTTGACTTCAGGGCCGGTATTCTCTCCACTGCACCACCTACCTACTCCCCATAAAATTTTGAGTTCCAAATTTTCTCCCCATCTCTCCCCTTCTCCCACCTCAAGACGATGTGCAATTTGTTATAGGCTCTGCATATATATTCATATTGAACCTATTTTCACATTAGTCACATTGTAAAGAAGAATTAGAATCAATGGGAGAAACCATGAAAAAGAAGAAACAAACAAAAAAAAAAGAAAGAGAGAGAGAGCAAATAATATGCTTTGATCTGCATTCAGATTCCATAGTTCTTTTTCTGGATGTGCGCAGCATTTTCCATCATGAGTCCTTTGGACTTGTCTCAGATCCTTGCATTGCTAAGAAGAGATGAATCTATTCCTCTAGACTTTATTAATATAGACTGTCTACTCTGAGAATAAATGAGGAGGTGCTCTTGGGATTTGAGATGTTTTATTTTGAGCTATAATGATTTTTTTTTTAAAAGTGATATGGGAGGAGTTAGGAAAGAAGTGATTTGAGT